GGTTAAATTTATCTGGAAAGTTTAATTAGTACCTCAGACAATTAAGTCTAAAGAAAAAGCACTTAATCTAAACAGTAAATGCTGTTACAGAAAACCAGCCTCTGTGCAAGGCAGAATTAACGTAGAACATATCCTTTGCTGATAGCTATAGAGAAGAGGGGAACTTGCACTGTGGTGAACCTAATGAATCTCTTCCCAACTTGAAACAAGTTATCAACAATCTGAAAATAGCAAGGTTGGACCACCTGGCAGCACAGCTGTTTCACCTGAGTAGTGTCAGCAATAAGAAAGTTCAAATCACACATGCCTGTGAGCAGCATGTATTGGAATTTTCCTGATGGAAATGCATGAATATAAGGCTTGCTTGACCACAAATGTCACAATGTTTAAAAAAAAAAAAAAAGCAAAAAATAATACCCCCCCCAAACAAAAAAATTAGAACATGAGAAAATTTTAGTATAACATTGTTAACCGCAGCAGTGAGAGAAACAAAAATAGCTGGTGCTGTTTTGTGCGTTGTCATCTGCTTGCTCTAGGCCATTCTGGCTGCACTTTTAGTCAAGTTCCTCCTTAAGATGCTTCTAAGACCTCTTATGAGCCCTAGTCTTCCCTCTGAATTATTGACAAGACCAGACGTTTAAAAATCAATACTAAGAGGCCCCAAATGAACCACAGGAGAATGCCATGTGATGTGCTAAATTTCATTTGATCCCTTAGCTGTTTTTCTTTCCTATGCTCATTTCTCTACTGTAAGCTCTTTGGGGCAGAAATCCTGTCTGTGCAGCCATCTGTAAGCGTCTTGCATGTTTCCAGGAGAATAGAAATAATGTTCAATGTTTCACTGTTCCCTGTTTACTGGGACTTAAGTTAGTCCCCTCACTTGGATCTTTCTTCGGTTTGGGAAACAGAGAGAAAACCCAAACCACAAATGCTAGTCAGCCCAGGGGTCTAGTGGCAATGTATTGTGTTGCCCCCAGGGATCACTGTGGAGTGCTTGAGTTCCCCAGACCTGTTGCAGAGCACTACACAGCGTAAAGAAGGTCTCGCAGTGGTCTCTACTACCATTGAGTAGCTTTGAGGAGCCGTAAAGGGCGTGACACCAATTTGGGAGTGACAGGGATTCCTGAAAGGTACTGCTTCCCTTCTGCCTCTGCCTCCCTCATTTCTCCCCCATCCTCTCGGGGAAAAAAGGGTTCCTTTTCTTCTACAGTTTGGTGACCAAGACAAGGCAGAAAAGCTGTTTGTACCACTTGTTAGGGATTCTATTGGTTCTGAAAAGTCTGCTCAGAAAAGCTTACTTACAAAACATACTTCTGTTTGCCAAACTGGCAACAGTGACTGTAGAGCTTCTCAGAGCTCAGAATCCCCTCCTCAGAGTGGGGGAGCAGGGAGCTATTTATTAAAGGGGTTAGGAAAGGAAAATCCCTGTGCAGGTCTAATGGTGTGAAAAGGGCTCAGCTAGGACAAGTCTTAACTTGCAGCCAAGTCTTAAGGAATTCCTCTCTGTTGTGTGGGATTTTCAGTTCCACTCACTTGTCTTTATAATCTTTTTTTGTTGTTGTTGTTCCTAACCAACCAACCCCAGCTTCCTTGTTTCCTAAGGGATGGGGAGGGACTATAGCTGAAGCAAGAGAGCATGGATTTCCTGGGTTACCACTGTCTAAGAATTTCCCATAATAGGACAGAAGAAAAGTCTCAGCCATCAAACCACCTGTGATTTCCCCCCCCCTTGTGTCCTCTGTTCTGTCTCTTGCAGTCTGAATCTCTACAGGTAAATGTTAGCCCCAGAGGCTTTTTTTTGGAGATGCGCTGCTAGGGTAGGGTGCTTGCTTTGTTTTTTTTCTCTTACGCCAAGCTAGCAGGGCACAGGGCAAAGGTGAATGAACGTGAATCAGTATGTCACTGGGCCAGGATGTGTCCCACAGATCGGTGTCCAAAGGGAAATCCAGGCCTCTGCTTCCATTTGGTTTCTGGCAGTTTGATGTTTACTTGGTGTCCTCCATGTACTTTGACTTTTACTTGTCCATCGTTGGCATGTGCTGCCCTTCCCTGTCAATCCCCTCCCCAAGAGGTCTCATTGTACAGTGCCCATTCCTGTTCTCTCTCTCCTTGTTTCGATGTACTGCTCTGTGTAACTCAGTGGGTCTCCCTCTTTCTGGTTTGTTTTTTTTCTAGATTCCTGCCGTTTGTTCATCGTTGTGCCTAAAGCATGTCGATGTGGCGTTCAAGTACATCGTCCAAATCCTTGTCTCTTCAGCTTCTCTGATGCTTGAACTCTCACCTTTGACCTTGTGTTGACCTTTGATGCTGATGTGTATTTTTATTATGTTTGTTTCTTTCTTTGTGGGTTTTTTTTTTTGTGCTGCCAAATTGGTTGTGCTAGAAAGACTGCTGAAGGGGAATATTTAAACTTGCATTTGAATATAAAAATTCTATTTTTCTAGAACTTCGTAAGATAACCACTTGATTTTGTGATTCTGATTCTTTGTAATTGTCTTCAGAGCAGCCTTGCTAGCATACCTCGTGGGGTATTTGTATTTCTGTGAACATAAAGCCAATCACTTTTTAGGCTTAATTTTTTATTTTATTTTTTTCCTGTGTGCATAGTTTTAAAAAAAACATTTTGAAGAAAAAAAAAGTTAAATGGTGTGACTCAATCTTTCAAGAGACTCCTAGTCACATTTTGCTGATCTGGTTTCTGTGCTTGAGGAGACGGCATGTATTTTTTGAGTTCAAACTCCGACTTTAGTGGCATCAGCAGAAAACACTTGAATTACATTTTCTCTTGATTGTAGCTGCATTTTTTGCCTTGGCACTTACTGTTTTTTCCTTTTCTGTGTGGTTATCAACCTCTGTCTGCAGTGAAAATTTGATCAAAGTTGATGTTGTGTTTTGTTAAACCCTAGCATGCTTGGTTTTTTGTAATCACAATCTCCTCAGCAAAATGTGATGTTTTTGTTTTATTCTATCAAACTCAGATAGTGCCCAGAAAATGTTTTGCATGTTTCCTGCTGTTTTCTTCACACCCTCGTATATATCACCTTCACCTCTCTGTTTTCTATAGTTCGTGCAAAAACTGAGCAATTTAATGGGTTTCAAAGGTATCCTTTTAAATTGGTATGTTTTTTGGTGTGACAAATTCTTATCAAATGCCATCTGTGGGCATCTGCCTGTGCACTTAGACTGTCTGCCTGACAGCATCTGGTCCTTGTTCCACCTCCAGAGCTGCAGGAGGCTCGAAGGGGTTTGGATGCATTCTTTCAAGTAGGTGTTTTGGTAGGATGGGAATCTTTGCAGCAATTCTGCTTCTAAAATTCTAGCGAAATTAGTGCTCCCTTGGGGCGCTCTCTACTGGTATTTTATCGTGCATAATTTGGGGCTTCATTTTTTGTAGAGTTCAGCCCTAGTTTAACCTTTGTCAGTCAGACCCTAGTGGAGGGAGGCTCAAAGGCTCTGGAAGTAGAATATTTGGAATATCCCAGAGAAGGAGTCTGTAAACCTGGTCTCTCAACTGCTGGCTCTTTCCCCAAGTGAGAAGCACAATACAACAGCCTCCCAAGCTGTTACGTGAACAGGGTACCAACCTCAGCTCCTCTTCTTAAGGGCCTTAGCTGGGGAATCTCTACGGAGATTTTTTAGTTTTTGTTTAGTTTTTAATTGGGTAATGAGCCAAGCAGTTTTAGTTCCTGCCCCGTGGAAGGAGTAGAACAGGTTACCATTCTCTGGGCAGCAGGCTTCCCCTTACCCTACCTACCTCCTGCTACAAGGCTGCATGGCTAGTAACTGAGACTAGTTTTTGAATGAAGGCACCTGCAAGATTGTGTGCCGTGGTGAAACAAATTGCTGGGAAAGGTGAGCTGGTGAAGGAACCCCAGGGGGGAAAGAGAGTATGAGATGAAATCCCAAGGGAAACGGTATGGTGAGAATATGAGACTGATCTTCAAGCCGGGTAGAAGTATTACCTTTGTCCTTTGTTTTGGGATGGTGAAGAGTGACAGTGTTTATTCTTTCCTACCCCTAAATTGGCTGGTGATTTATAGTCTCAGTAAAAGGTTGGCTGGATTGGCATAGACAGTCCTTGCTCTGTCTTGTAATCAGCTTTTTTTGGGGGTGTGACATATAGTTCTGGGAGCTGTGGGGCTGGGGCTGGATGAGGAGAGGATGGAGACTCATTTGGGGGTAGGGTTGTGGGATGGCTGCTGTTAGCCCCACAGTCTGAATGCACAGGGCCATCTGTCAGCAGGGGGCACTGATACCCTGTAATGTATTGAGTAACTTTTGCCAATACATTTCTGTACAATGCGCATGTAGTTCCATGAGGAACTTTGGGAAACCTGTGGAAAAATCTCTGGACAAAACCAAAATGCCAAACTTTGGATGTTTCTTTCCTTTCTTCTTTCCTTTCCTTCCTTTGATTGTTTTAATTGTTCTGTGGTGGTTTTAATGGATTTGAGACAGTGGAGCAGCAGCTGCCTTTCTGATTTTTGGCTGCTTTTTGTGAATAATTTAAAAAAAATTTACATTTTGGAGACAAACCTGTGGGCTTTTTTATTGGTACAAACATTGTATTTAACACTAGGGGTTTTGTACAGTTTTTTGCCTTTTCTACTAGAAAACAATGTAAAGTGATTCACAATGTGATGAGAAAACAAATTGCCACTATGACCAAATGTAGAGTCTGTTCTGCAGTAACGGGATTTAATCAACTCAAAGTCGTGATTCAGTCGTAGAAATGCTTTTCTTTACCTTGTTTGAGCTGTTCCTTTTTTCTTGTTTTGATTTGCAAAACAAAATGTCTTTTGTGTGGAATTGTGTTGTACTCTGTAGAAAATTATGGATTTTACTTTAATGGTTTAAAAAGTAGAGGAGCACATGTTGCTTTTCTTACCTGATCGCAGAGTTTGTGTAGTGGATTTAAAAAATGAAAGGATTTGTTACAAGTTTGGAACGAGCGAGTATGTGTTTAAAGGAATTTTCTTCCTTTGTGTGTATTTTTTTTTTCTTTTTGTCCCAAAGGGGAACTTAAAGCTGTTTTAATTGCACAGATACACCGACAACAAGTCATTTTGTATATGCCAAGTGTGGTACCTTCCTTTGTTTATTTGCTATTAAACTGTTTGAGAAGAGTCTGTCTGTTGCTTTTGTGTTACACCTTAGATCTTACACTCTGCAGATAGATGCAGCTGCAGGAAGGGCAAGGAGAAGAGTTTCTGCCAGCTGGAAGTGCACCGGAGGAGAATACCTGCTAATTAACTAGGCAGCATGTGACAAAATCTTTATATGATGTTACTTTGTCTGGGTACACAAAATTGCCCTTGATTTCCCCCCTTGCTAATATGTTTCTTTGAATTGAAATATTACAAGTTCATTGTAATTCTCTCTGTTTTCTCTTCTTTTTCTATATATAAACGTTTATATTTCTGATTTTCTGTCTTTTGGTCACGATCAACCTTTCTGGTCTCAGATTCTCCATCCTTCTTTGAAGTTTTACCCCTTCTCTCTAGCAGAATTACTTCAAAGGGAGCAAAACTGGGTCTAAACCCATGATACAGTGTTCCAGGATTTATATATAAAAAAAAAAAAAAAAATCTAGGCACAAAATCTGGAGGTTCTTAACACCCAGCAAAGTGTGCAAGTGGACAGTACACACTTGCACAGGCACAATATGACAGCACCATTCTGTAGCAGTTTCCCGTTAAATTATTATTGCAGAACATGCTACTTACACTCAATTCCTCTCCACTAAATTTCTCCAGCTGCTTCCATTAACTACAGTATTTTTTGCTTCTCTTCCTAATCTGTTCTGTAGTATAACTGTACATTTGTTCACGGGAGAGGAAAGGGGCACTGAAAATAATCCAGTGTGTGAAACATTGTGAAGTTGTTTTAAATGAAGTGTGCCGTATAAGACTGAAGATTTTACCTAAGCAAAACAGAATTCAGTCAAAATCTGGCTAGGATGTTGGCATTTATATCCCAAACTCTTTGTGAAACAACCCTGGGAGTTTAAAGACATCAGGTGACTTTTTCAATCTCTCTAAAATGCATTTCTTTTAATTAAAAAATAGTCTTTCCTCTTCCCTCCTGATTTGTATACAAGTCCCTGACTCAGAGACTACAGGCATCTGCAACCTTCGTTTCTCCTCTGTGTCCTTGTTTATTATCCAGCACGTTCCTTTTAACCCAGTGCTTCCTACAATGATTGTAATTCTGAGAGGGCTGGATGCTGCATTCCATCCAGTGCAACCCACCAATCACAGAGCAAGATATTGTGCCACCTGTTTTGTGATGCACTAATGTTCATGTAGTTAATTAGCAGCTGTCTGATGCTGGGAAACATAAACTTCAGTGTGGGTGTGTATCTGGGATAAAAGTAGGGGAGAAGCAGCTGAATCAGAAAACTAATCTCTTGGTACAGGATGGAAGATTCATGGTCATACAGCATATATGGCTTTAACCTACCACGTGCCAAACCTTGTATCACAGCCATGGCAGTTATGAGATGTGGAGACTAAGATATTAGCTTCCTATGTGTAGATGGGGCTGTCAGCTTTTTTCTGGCATTCATATATGACTCTGCTGTACATTCTTTTGAAGCTTTCTGCTGCTGGTTTGCTTTCCCAAGCCATTTCATTGTCATCAGACGTACCAGAGACAGGAAATGGCTAGTAGATTGGAGCCCCATTGCTAACCTAGTCGCACTCGAAGAAACTCTTCAACCAATTTACACACTTGAGGCCTAAACACTGTCTTTAGTTGTACCATGCATCCTCACTGTACAGATGCACTGAAAAAAAATACATGATCATCTTATACTCACTTGCACTGCACACAGTTGATAGCTCAGGCCAGGGAAGGAACTGACAATATGTCACTGAAGGTTGACAAGCTGTTGCACAAGGGGCCGGTAGTCAGAGGAGAAGATTATACCCACATGTAGGCAGTGGCTGGCCAAGAGTGTGATTCATTGGAGTGGAGGAAAAAACAAAGCGTCATTAGCCAAACAAGTTTTAGTTCCTCAAGGAAATCACAGGTGGCAACGATCTAAGTGGTTAAGGTGTTTCTACCCAGCTAGCTGTTCTCTCAATGCATTGGCCTTGCATAGGTAAGTCATATCTGTCCTCTTCACTTCACCAGCTGGAGTTTGATGGTGGGTTTTGTCCTTGTTATCTAACATGTAGTCATCTTATCACACTTCTGGCACTTTTCAGTCCCTAGCTGTGGTCAGTGTTCTCTGTCTCAACAAGCAGTCAGTTGCAGAAGCTGGGTTCATGTGAGATTGATCAATGCTTTTCAGTGGAAGAGTCTAGCCCAAAGACAAAAAAAGTGCCCAATGCATGGCTGCAGATGCAGGACAGACTTATCACGCCTGAATTTTAGGACCTGCGTTGTTAGGGCAAAAAATTCCACAGAGTCCTCTCTTCCTCACAGGTATATCCAGATGATGGGTGCTAATGGGGCAAAGGGCTTCTGTAGGATGATCCAGAAACAACAGGATGAAATTCTGATGACTCATGAGCCATAGACTGTTAAACTCGCTATAGAGGGAAATTCTACAGCAGGGGTGGGCAAAATGGCGGATCTGGCTGGCAGCTGGACTTTCCAGCAGCCCCTGCCCATGTTGCTGCAGCCAGTTTCCGTGAAGCCCCAAGGAACAGCGGGGCCATGAGAGCATGGGGCCGGGGTTTCCATGGAGATGGGCCCCAGCAGCACTGGCAAGCGGGGGGGAGCTGGGCAAAGAGCTGGGATCTTGCAGCTGGGGCAGAGTCACTATCTGCTGCCTGCATGCCCCTGCCTGAGGTGTGCAGGCAGTGGTGCATCACAGCTCTGTCCTGGCTCCAGACCACACTGTCACTGCCGCAAGATCGCAGCTCCCTGCACACCATCAACACTGCTGAGGCTGGTCTCCGTGGAAACCCTGGCCCCATGCTGTCATGATCCACTGTTCCTGGGGTCTCCATGGAAATGGGTGGAACCAACATGGGCAGGGGCTGCTGGGAAATGGAGTCTGCCCCTGTTCTACAGGAACATCTAGGAGAGACTTAAGTGATCCTTTATACTAGGGGTGTGCGAAGTGGCCCCTATTCGATTCAGATTTGGCCCAAGTTGGGGGTAGCGATTCAATTCATTGATTCGGATCGCTGTCCCTGATTCAATTCGGCCAAATCCGAATCTGAAGATCTGATGCCAATTCGGACATAGACACAGCTTTAAAAGTTTTTTCTACATACCTTGAGGCAAAAGCACAGCTTGTGATCGCTGTGATGCTGGAGCACATGGAGCATCCCACAGGCATTCGGGGGGGCCCTCCACATGCTAGGTGGCAAACGGGGAAGTGGACTGGAACTACTTCCAGTCGGCCACCAAATTGGGCCAAATCTCTGCTGGATCGAATCAGGGACCGAAGCGTCACACAGCCCTACTGTATACCCTTCCCTGGCTCCTACACTGACTCCCTGATACAATTATTCTAGTGGCTGTAGCCTACAGCCTTGTCCCACAGAACTAGCTGCTCCTTTTTTATCTATCTTTTCCAGGGTTCAGGGGTTTGAAATTCTCCCCTACTACCACCAAACAGATCAGTCTGATGATTTTTTGAATAAGGTCTTACAAGAGGTGCTGTGTGAAGGGACCATTTCCCTAGCCCTGCTTGTATACTTTTTTGGAAACAACAGGATCCAAGGCAGCCGTGTAACCTGGTAATGGGGAAAACGTGAACGATCTCTGCAAGGTGCTCAGATCTCCAGCTGTGTATTAACCCCTTTTTAACCAAATGTGCTTCAGCAAGGGGTGAGTTTAGTCTCAGTCTATCTTAGGTTTCTGGATAGCATCTTTCCCTGCAATTTCTAAGCACACACATACATGGGATGAAGAGTTCTCCAATGCATTGCATCTGGAAGAAATTAAATACTGAATGCAATGATCTAGATATCAGAGGTGGGTTTATAATTCCCAAAAGAGGGTCAGCCTAAACAATTCCCTTGGGGAACCCAGCAAAACATCCTCTCACTCTCTCTCCCCCATTTTAAAACCATTCTCTAAGGATGCCCTAAATAAAATGGTGAGCTGGATTTGCATGAAAATGTCTGTGACAAAAGTCTCAGTGCACTCTCTCTGTGAAGAATGTGGCTCCTGCCTTCTGGTTCACCTGCAGACTGACGTATGAACAAATACTGGCTTTCGTATTCTCAGTGTTGCTGTCCATAGAAGCCTCCCTCAGATTAGCATAATCAATCTCACCTATGAGAGAAGAGTTTATGACCTAGTCATTACTTTGTCAACATGAAAAATCACTCTTATAGAGACAGAAGGAACAGATTATACATGGACATCTAGATCAGGCCAATAAGGATGCAACAGTTTGAAGGAGATATGCCAACATCCAGAAACTTCATTCCTGAAGGAACTCATCTAATTTCAATCCCTTTTTCTTAAAGAATGGAGGAGAGTGCTTCAAAGCTGCCATCTTATTGGTCCAGCAAAATGCTGCTTCTGAAGTGAGTGGGTGAGGGAATTCTACAGTGTGGAGTGTGTGATCATCCATCACAAGTGGGTGATAGCTGTAAGTTGAGGGTAGAGGATCAGTTTCTTCCTCCTCTAGTGCACACAGTTGTTAGCTGTTCGTGTCTGCCAACCCAGTAGAAAAGGACAATGAAACACTTGCAGTCTCCAGGTGGTTAGAAACAAAGGTTTCAAGGAATTATCTCTTTCAAATTCATGGTCTCCAAGAAGTTAGGAAGCCAATAAACCCATAGGCAGCAAGCCTGTGGGAACTGGACCCAGATCTTCTGAGTGTCTCTCTTAACCATAATACAACTGAGCCTCCCCTGGTGAGCTCTTCAGAGCGGAGGTTTCATTTTTGTGCCTGGTACAATGCTGATCGCCAGTGGTAACTGGCATGCATAAATGTTGGAGCTTCCTAGTCATTCCTTCCAGAGGCTCTCGGATCTGTTGTCATCTCACCTGGTGATGCCTCAACTTGCGTTGTCTTGGGCTGTTTTCCATTCTCTAGGGGTCTGAATGGTGCCCAGTGTTGGGGGAGGGGAGACAGATGATTGAAACATTTGTGTAATTTCAGCCAATTGTCTTTCTCTGGGGTATTTATATGTTACATGCCAGAGGGATGGGG